CCTGCTGCCTGAATCATAGGTGTGATGTCTATAGATTCAGCATCCATCTTTGACTATAAGGTGACTGGAGATGGAAGCCATGCCTAAGGCTGATAGAACAACAGGTAAAGGGATCCAAATATTAACCGACAGGGACTTCCCTGGCAGTCCGGTGGTTAAGACTCCACGCTCCCAATGCAGGGGGCACGGATTCAATCCCTGGTAGGGGAACTAAGATCCTACATGCCGCACAGTGCAGCCTAAATAAAACAAAACCAAACAAACAAACAACAAAATATTAACTGACATACCAAAAAATGTTCCCTTGAACATTTGTCAAGGGAAAGAAAATCAAGATTGTCACAGATGACACAGATGTTGAATTACCGAAGATTTTTAAAGCAGCTATTATAACCATCCTCCATGAGGTTCTATGAGCTGGAAGGTGTTTTGGACTGAACTGTGTCCACTCAAAATTCCTATGTTGAGGGACTTCCCTGGTGGCGCAGCAGTTAAGAATCCGCCTGCCAATGCAGAGGACATGGGTTCACTTGCTGGTCCAGAAAGATCCCACATGCCCTGGAGCAACTAAAAGTCCGTGTGCCACAACTACTGAGCCTATGTGCTGCAACTACTGAAGCTTGCGCACCTAGAGCCCATGCTCCGCAAGAAGAGAAGCCACCGCAATGAGAAGCCCGCACACTGCAACGAAGAGTAGCCCCCGCTCGCCGCAACTAGAGGAAGCCTGCGTGCAGCAACGAAGACCCAACAAAGACCCAATTTATTTAAATAAATAAATTCATATGTTGAAACCCTAACTCTCAGTGTGACTGTACTGGAGACAAGGCCTATAAAAGTTAATAAAAGTTAAGTGAGATCATAAGGGTGGGGCGGGCCTTAATCCACTTATATGAAGAGGAGACATGAGGAAGTAGGAGCGAGCGTGCTCACTCTCCCCACTCCCTGTTCATGCACAGAAGAGAGGCCATGTGAGGTCACAGAGGGAAGGCAGCATCTGCAAGCCAGGGAGAGCCCTCACCAGAAACCAAATCTGCCAGCACCCTGATCCATGAATTCCAGTCTCCAGAAGTATGAGAAAATTAATTTCTGTTGTTTAAGGCACCCAGTCAGTGGTATTTTGTTATGGCAGCCCGAGCTGATTAAAATAGAAGGTAAAGGATAATGAAAAAGAAACCTGGAACTTCAAGAATGAAGGGGAAGCAAGAGAACTGACAAATCTCTTGGTAAATACAACAGACTGTTTATTGTTTCTCTTAAGATCTTTGAAATATGAATGTTGGATGAAAGCAAAAACAGAACACTGTCTGACGGGGTTTTCAATGTATACAGATGTAAAATATATGGCAACCTCAATACAAAGAAGGGAGGGCAAAAAGATCTATATGGTGATGAGGTTCCTATATCACACTTGAAGTGGTAGTATGTTAACTTGAAAAATTAAATATATATATACATATATATATATATATATATATTTATTTTTTGCGGTACGCGGGCCTTTCACTGTTGTGGCCTCTCCCGTTGCGGAGCACAGGCTCTGGATGCGCAGGCTCAGCAGCCATGGCTCACGGGCCCAGCCGCTCCGCGGCATGTGGGATCTTCCTGGACCGGGGCACGAACCCGCGTCCCCTGCATCGGCAGGCGGACTCTCAACCACTGCGCCACCAGGGGAGCCCGTATATGTATTTTAATATACAGAGCAACCACTTAAAAAACTCACATAAAGAGATATAGTCAAACACTCAATAGATACATTGAAAAGGAAAACTAAACTTGTGTGAAACAACAGAGTCTCAAAATAAATGAAGCAAAAACTGATAGAACTGAAAGGAGATGTAGACAAATCCACAATTATACCTGGGAGAATTCACCTCTCTCTCAGTAACTGATAGAACAAACCGGATAAAGACAACATGTAGAACACCATCAACCAACCTGACCTAACTGACATATCTAGAACACTCCACCCAACAACAGCAGAATGCACACTCTTTTCAAGTGCACAATGAACAATCACCAAGAAGACTAGATCATAAAACAAACCTTAACAAATTGAAAAGAATTGAAATCACCCAAAATGTGTTTGCAGATCATAATCAACTAGAAAACAATAATGAGAAGACATATGGAAAATCCCCAAATATTTGGAAATTAAACAACAAAGAGGAACTCAAGAGAAATTACAAAATATTTTAAATTGAATGGAAAGGAAAATAAAACATATTAAAATTTGATAAAGCTAAAGCAGTGCTCAGAGAGAAACTTATAGCATTACATGGTTAAATATACAATGCAAATAAACCTACAGACCTGGGTGGCTCAAGCCACAAATGTGATTTCCAAAAGCACCTCAACTTCTTCTGAGAGTTAAATAAAATTATACACGTTAAGGTGACTACATAGTAGGTGTTTGTAAACATATGATGAATGAAAGAACAAGAGAACAAACAAATGAATAAACACACAGGGAATAAATAAACAAAACTACAAGTCAGATAACTATGAAGCACTGAAGCATAGTCCTGGATAGCTTTTTCAACTCAATGAAATAACTAAGATTCCATTCCCTTGCTCTCCGGGGCAGTCAACAGCATGAATTTCTCGTAGCAAGAGCTAGAAAGCTACTGAAGCCCTGGTACAACCCTAGTTAATACCTTTTATTAACTGTATCAAAATGCCATGTGTCACAATGGCACTTCCTCTCTATTTAGCAGAAAAACCCACTCAGAAAAAAAGGGCAGCAATTTTTCTCACGCTTACCCACATTTGTTTATAGTCCAACTGAAAGTCACCTGGAATCCCTGGCAGATCTATGGCCAGCACTTGCCAGTACTTTCATGACAAAGGGGTTCACAGGACATGACTCAATAACTTCAGGCTGCTTAACTCACTTCAGGTTTCCTCATCTTCCCGTAAAAATAAGTTTCTACACAGGTGTCTCCCTTCACATTGACAAGCACAGAGAGAAGGGAGTGAGAGAGAGAGAAAAGGGACGAGAACCAATACTTATTTACTGAACACCTACGGTCAACCAAGGTACTTTACACACACTGGTTCATTTAATTTGCTCAACAACTTGTAAAGTAGGAACAACCATTCCCAAAGTACAAAGAGGAGAAAAGGAGACTGAAATTTAGGTCTTCCCACACCACAGATTCAAAATGGTAAACCTGAACAGTAAACCCCATTAGCAATTTTGTTCAGCTGGGTATGTTACAGAACATTTATTCCGTTAACACTGGGACTCAAGTTCTCTAAGTCCCCACCAGTTCTGATCAAGAAACTCTTGAGCATCCTCACTGAACAAGGAACATGCAGAGCTCCAATTTCCAAGCTCCTAGGACCAAAAATAAATCCATGTACATTTGTGCTTCTAAATTCATAGCCTACAATGCCTATCACTTTGTTGTGATGAATGATGCAAAACCTTTAAACCACAAGGGACAGGAACTGAATGCTATCTCTGCGACTTAACCACACCTACGTTTTACATTTAAGATACCAAGAAAACATTCTTGACTACTTCCTGCAAGATCAGTTGCTTCTGAAATTCTGGCTCAAGCCACAAAAGCCCCCCAACTTCTTTCACATACATTTTCTCAGTTGAAAAACATTCGATTGCATTTACATGCTCTTCATTAAAATGAATGTGGTAATTATCTGTAGCCAGGGCTCTATCAGTTGCTTCTGCAAAACAGTGTATCTCTAATATATTGGGATCTCTAATATAACCTAGAGCAGTGGTTTAACTTTCATTTAAAATTTTTTCTGGGCTTCCCTGGTGGCGCAGTGGTTAAGAATCCCCTGCCAATGCAGGGGACACGGGTTGGAGCCCTGGGCCGGGAAGATCCTACATGCCGCAGAGCAACTGAGCCCGTGCGCCACAACTACTGAGCCTGTACTCTAGAGCCCGTGAGCCACAACTACTGAGCCCACGTGCTGCAACTACTGAAGCCCACCTGCCTAGAGCCCATGCTCCGCAACAAAGAGAAGCCACCGCAATGAGAAGCCCGCACACCGCAACAAAGAGGAGTCCCAGCTCGCCGCAACTAGAGAAAGCCCACATGTAGCAACGAAGACCCAACGCAGCCAAAAATAAATAAATAAATTTATTTTAAAAATAAATAAACAATTTTAATAAATAAATAAATTTTAAGAATAAATTTTTTTCAGTGCACACTTGTGTAAATATACAACAGCATAAGAGGTGAAAGGAAAAACATGTTAAGTTCAACTATTTTCTTTGCACACCTCAGCAGACTACACCCTTCTTTGTAGTCTACTACCTTAGACCACTAGAGGGTGTCTGACTGACAAGCAGTTCCCCAGATGATGGTTACCATTTAACAGCATAAACCACAGACAAGCTTTGAAGGTTTGGGGTTTTTTTGTTTTTTAAAGGCATAAAAGTGTTATACATGTATGTTTAAAAAAAAAAAAGTCAAGAAAAATTAGAAAGCCTTATTTAGGATAGTAATCAAATGATCAATGAGAAAAATCCCTAGTGCTTTTTTTTAAAATTGGAGTACAGTTGCTTTACAATATTGTGTTAGTTTATACTGTACAGCAAAGTGAATCAGCTGTATATATGTATACATAAACATGAATGTATATACATATACATATATCCCCTCTTTTAAATTAAGGATTTCCTTCTCATTTAGGTCACCACAGAGCACTGAGTAGAGTTCCCTGTGCTACACAGTAGGTGCTCATTAGTTATCTATTTTATACACAGTATCAATAGTGTATATATGTCAAGCCCAATTTCCCAAATCATCCCACCCCTAGTGTTTAAAGTGGTCAGCAAGAACCACTGACAACTGTGACAACAGATGACAGATGCCTAGGCAGGCAAGACAACATCTGCAAGTGGGCTGAAGGTCTTTGCTATCCAGGGACCCAGTCATTTAACTCCACAGTCACCACCTCAGTCAAATGACAGCAACATCTTCTATTACTTATTATTACTGTGTAGTCATTACTATGTCCATTTATCGAGTGCCTAATACGTGATCGATAGTGTGCCAGGTATTTTACATACAATTTCCTTGAATCCTAGCCATTCTGCAAAAGAGGTATCAGTATTAGTATGCTCATTTTGCAAGAGGAAATGTGATTACCATATAACTTGACCAAAAGTAACACTGCTGCCATGAAGCAGAAAAGAAATTTAAACTGCACCACTGCTCCTTCTATTGGTGCAACAGTCTGCACAAGTATATATTTTCTCAATGCAACCATATTCTCCACACCTAAAGCACATTTGTACTGTGCTTTAAAAAGCATTTTCATATTAATCATGTCCTCAGTTTATTCTTCCAACAAGCCTGAGATATGTGAAAGAATATCTACCACTTAAATATAGCAAAATCAGGCACAGTCCCAGAACCAAAGGATGCAACTGCTCAGCATACAAGAAAGAGAATTTGGCGGAAGTGTCTTTTCTTTGAACAATCTCATTCAACAACACAATTACTCACAGTTGGCAAATTCACCAAAAACAGGATCCACTGTTGTGTAAGAAGGTTTCTGACACACAAATAAACTACCCATAACCACATGTGACCTGACACCATAACAAGCTGGAAGCTATTTTGCAATCACAAAAATAGTTTTGGGAATGAAAGTGCAAATGCTAAATTTGGAATGCAAATACCGTTTCGAATTTTAAAAACGCATAAAACCTCAGCAATGGAAAGGGTTTTAGAGGCTCAGTCCAACTCTCCCCAGTTGGGGGGTCTCCTCACCACCTCCATTTGGCACATTTCTGGGGGAGGGGCGTTCACTATCTCCACCATCAACCACTAATACTATTTACTGAGCATCTGTAATGTGCTGAGCGTTCTAGATATGTTATCTTCAAATAATTAGATATATAACGACCACAGTGTACAGGAACCATACTTTCTGCCTGCAAACAAGAAAAAATGGGCTTGAGAAACGTGGGGAAAAAAACATTTCCCCATTTTCTGTTTTTTAAAATAAAATTAGAAGTACAAAAATGATTATCTCTGGATTGCGGGATTATAGATAACTTTTCTTTATATTTTTCTATCTTTGCTAGTTTTTAAAATAAATATTTTTTTCCTGATAAGTATTTATTACTTTATTTGGGAAATTTTCAAGCACATACAAAAGGAGTGAGGCTATAATGAACCCCAAGTTCCTATCAACTAAGTTCAACACCAATTATCAACACATGGCCAACACACTTCCCCCTCTATCCCCAGGGAATTTTTTTTTTTTTTTGCGGTACGCTGGCCTCTCACTGCTGTGGCCTCTCCCGTTGCGGAGCACGGGCTCCGGACACGCAGGCTCAGCGGCCATGGCTCACGGGCCCAGCCGCTGTGCGGCATGTGGGATCTTCCCGGACCGGGGCACGAACCCGTGTCCCCTGCATCAGCAGGCGGACTCTCAACCACTGCGCCACCAGGGAAGCCCCCCAGGGAATTAGTTTAAAGCAAATCCCAGATATCGTATCATTTTATCCAATAAATACTTCAGGTTGTATCTCTAAAATAAGGGCCATGGGGGAGGATGGGGACCACAAAAACATTATCATACCTAAAAAATTAACAATACATATTACTTTTTTAACCAGAAAAATGTATTTTTAAAAAATGAGATATTTAAGGGGAAGAAAGAAGAAAATGCTCAATGGCTTTACTACCTAAACAGCTTACATGACTCAGTTTCACTGAAGAGGTATGACTGCATGGTGGCCTCTTTAGGCCACAAGAAAAACTGACAAAAATGTTTATTTCTACTTATAAATGTTTCTGCGGTTTACCTGTTGAGAACTGCTTCCTTGTCTCCCAGACGGCTTTTAATTTTACTTGTCAGATAGTCCAAAAAGAGCGTCCAGATATCCAAACAAGAGAAGTAACCTTCATGAGTAGGCTATGGTGCAAAAGAAATCCAGACAATGAAATTACTTAATGCAACTACTCCTTAGAAACACACCCACCAGTGTTTACATACACCAGAATGCTACAACCATAAGCCTAGGTTCCCTCGGCTTCTTGGTAACCACAATTGGTGTCTTTTATTCGGTCTTCACGATTGGGCCCTGTTGAACCTAACAAGACAAGGGTACCATGGAACACATCATTAAGGAGATACTGTACTATGCAGGGCAAACCAATTTACAAAATAAGCTGAGCGAACACCTGTTTTAAAGTCTGAGACTGTGATGCGGACAGCTCTTACAGATCATCCAATTCAAATCTGTTTTAGAGGAAAAGAAACTGAGATCCAGAGATATGTTCAAAGTCAGGGGTAGGAACAGGTCCATTTAACCCCAGCCAATGCTCTTTCCACTACATACTATTACAAAACCAAAACTAAGTTTCAGTGGCTCCAAAGTGACAAGTTTACACATTTGAACATTAGGAAAGTAACATCTGCAGTCTTCCTACATAAAAGATTGAAAATGAGCTCGTTAAGACTGACCTACAGGCTTTAGCTCATCTGCAAAGCAGATGTGTCAAACAGGCTAATAGCAACCTCTTACCAGGTGTCGATAAGGACAAAGTAAGGAGAAAAGAGCAAGTCCTTGTAGGGTCCTAGTGCCTGGACCACTGCACTGATCAACTTTCTCAAGATCCTTGAGATTCTATTTCATGCAAAATCCAAGCACTATATTCTCCAACATCTAGTCCTTCTCACACATATTCAGTTTCATCTGTGGCCCCCCAATCCCTTATATATCCACTCAAATTCTTGCTACCTACAAGAACTCTTTGGCTTTACTTGTGATTATTTCATCGAACCACATATTTGATGGCAGGATCAGATATGGAAAGAAATAATACCATCATCTTCTTGAGTCAGTTTCCTTCCATCTCTGGGCCCAAGAAATCCAGAAGTTTACAAGGGCATGTACAGAATCTGTCCAAGAGATAACTACCAATGACGGTGGTGGTGTACCCAGGCTGAGTCTGAGACAGAAAAACTGTAAACTTAAACAATGTGGCAGACCCCACTCACAAGCCACAGAGCAGCTCTGGAACTGGACTGCTACAGCTCAATCAGGACCACTGGCACGGCCATCCTCAGAACACGAAATGAACCAGAAGAATAAGCAGAAAAAACAATAAGCCGTGTGGAAATAATATGGGTAGCTTGTGGACCGGCACTTGACTTGCAGCCAGGAGATGTAGTCTTGTCCTGGCTTTGGCTTGCTGTGCTTCCAGTAAGGAGGTCACCCAGCCGCCCTTTCTTGCTTTGAAAATAAATACCTACCAGATCCCTCACCAAAAAATATAACTGATCAGATGCATGTGGAGGTGCTTTTGAGAAAAGCCACCATACAAATCCAAGTGTTATGGCTATGTCAAAGTAGTTTACAATTATACACGTCTTTCTCATGCGTTTGAATTGAGGATTTACTGTGTGGCTCAAGGCTGGAAAAAAAGTTGGGCAAATACACCCTCTGTAGGACCTGAAACACTACCATTCACATCCATCTCTACAGGCCCCACTGTGAGGCCTTATGCACTGCCCACAGTCTGGCCTTTGACAATTGCTCTGGGCACAGATTGCTAAGGTCATAAAGGCAATACGCTGACTGCACTTTTGGAGTCATACAACTTTGAAAAGCCCTCATGGACCCATTTTTAAAATGTACCCATACTCAGATTTTTTACTTTTCAGATTCCAGGGCTGGTTAGTCACTAAAGATCCTGGCAAGTTCCTTTAAAAAAACTAATGATACTACTCCTCTCTCCAAGTGGTTTGTTTTGATTTGCATAGGTCTATTTGATCTTCACAACAGTCCTGGAAAGCGGAGAGATGTCTTTCTTCTTCCCATTTCACAGATAAAGAAACCAGAAGTCAAGTCATCTGCCCAAGGTGACAAGATAAAGGACAAAAACAGAACTAGACTGTGGATCCTAAGACTCCCCCAGTCCAGACCCTTCCCCTTATGCCATACTATCTCAGGCATGTTTTAAGAAGGGGCAAAATGGAAACTGCAAGACCAAGAAGGAATTGGTAATGATACAGCAAGAGAAGGAGGAGCAGGAAGACAGAAACCATATGTTTATACAGACAGCTCAGGGGCTCAGCAATGGTGGAGGCAAACACCTGGTGAGCACTAGTGGCTGAAGGGACTGTGGCAGGACACTTAGGTGAAAGAAAAAATGCAGGAAAATAAACAGAAGAGAGGAAATGGTTACAGGAAGATACTACCACCATCTTTATCTTATTACTATTCTTTAAAAATATGTTGACCAGGGACTTCCCTTGTGGTGCAGTGGTTAAGAATCCACCTACCAATGCAGGGGACACGGGTTCGAGCCCTGGTCCAGGAAGATCCCACATGCCGCAGAGCAACTAAGCCCGCGCGCCACAACTATCGAGCCTGTGCTCTAGAGCCCGCGAGCCACAACTACTGAAGCCCACGCGCCACAACTACTGAAGCCCGCATGCCTGGAGCCCGTGGTCCTCAACAAGAGAAGCCACTGCAACGAGAAGCCTGCGCACCGCAATGAAGAGTAGCCCCCGTTCACCGCAAGTAGAGAAAGCCCACGCGCAGCAACAAAGACCCAACAGACCCAAAGATAAATAAAAAATAAATTAAAAAAAAAAATGTTGACCAGGACTAATATTTCCATGAATTGTAGGAACAAAAGGCAAAGTGCACTGAGAATAACCCTCTAAACAAGAGAAAAGACACATTTTCCCACTTTACAGAGAACTAAGCTATGATAAAGGAAGAACACACTGTTAATGAACAGATGAGAACTTAAAGCTCTCCTTGAGAGCAGCGGGCCTCTCACTGTCGTGGCCTCTCCCATTTGCGGAGCACAGGCTCCGGACGCGCAGGCCCAGCGGCCATGGCTCACGGGCCCAGCCGCTCCGCGGCATGTGGGATCCTCCCGAAACGGGGCACGAACCCGCGTCTCCTGCATCGGCAGGCGGACTCTCAAGCACTGCGCCACCAGGGAAGCCCTAATTTCTTATTCTTAAATCTTATCCTAAAGAAATCTTTTACTACGAGCTCCTGGGCCTAGAGTGTGCCCTGCCAGCTTTCTCCCTCCCTGCCTCTCCAGCAAAGGGCAGCTTCCCCCAGAGCCCCTTCCAGGTTCCTGCCCCTCTGGCCAGTGCTCAGAATTGGCTTCTGCCTGCACCTCGAGGCCACCAACCCACACAGCCCAGAGTCTGCACCCAGAAATGCAAGTCCTCACACAGGAGGCCAGCAGAACACAGGGAGCTCAGCTGACAGTGACCCGCTGGTGAGGGAGGAAGACAGAAGCTTGCTGTTTGCCTCATGACCAATCCATCTCTTCTCCCAGTATGTAATTAAAACATATATAAATATATAAAACCACCACTCTCGGTTCAATGGAAAATTAACCCGTAGGATTCTAGTGAAAGAATCATAGAAGATGAATATGGAAAGACCCTAAAGATGCCCACTGCAGTCTATCTCCCTAGGAAATTTAAAAGACTTATCCAAGGACAGAGACCTAATAGAAACAACCAGAGCTCAAACACAGGACTTTTGGGTCCACATCCAAAGAAGGAAGCATCAGACATGCATACTTCAAAACACTTTTTAGCTTTCTTCTACACCACATACACTAAAAAGGTCCCATTTTACACAGGGAGCAAAATCACAAGACGGTTCATTCTGTTTCCCAAACAAACCCTTCCTTCTGGCCCCAGCACTGGCTCCTTATCTCTCGTTCATTTCTGCTGCACTTATTCAAAGGTATCCATGAAATCCTTCCTTTTTTCCTGGTCCCCTTTAAGATCTCTCCAGATCCATCTCAAGTCTCTCCCACTTCTGATGCCTCTCTCCTACATCCTCACCCTCCTATAACTCATCACCTCTTCTATCCCTTCTTAGGCCTAGTGAGATCAGTGTGCTTCCTTCTTGCTCTGCACTCACCGGCCCCTCTATCAGACATGTGTCACTTCTTTAACCTTTGATCATCCTCCTCCATCCGCACCCTTCCAAATCCCCTTTTACATACACACACCCCTCCCAGCCTCCACCCTTACCTCTCCTCTAGCCTCATTAAGTTACAACATCAGTGATTGAAACAACCAAAAAAGACTGCTTGTAAAATCAGATGCCCTCACTGACCCAGCAGTTTCACCCCTGGTAATATACCAACATACGCAGAAAGAGCTACGTATGTACATCAAAAGGCAGGCACAAGAATATTCACTGCAACATGATTCATGACCACCAAAAACTGGAAGTGGCCCAAATCAGCAGTGGAATGGCTTTTCTAATGACTTCCTATAAAACAATGAGAACAAACTACTGCCACACACAACACAGATGAAGCTCACAAACATAATGTTGAATGAAAAAAGTCAGACAAAACAAATCTACATTGTATGCTTCCATTTAGAGAAGTTCTAAAACAGGCACAACTCATCTGGGATATTAAAGTCAGGTCTGAGGTTACTTCTGGGGAGGATGTGGAGGGGAGTGATGAAGGACATGAGGGGATTTCTGGGGGTGCTGGTAATGTTCTACTTCTTGACTTAGGTGGTGGTCACATGTCTTGTTCGTTTTGGGAAAACTCACGAAGCTATACATGTATGATTTACGTGCTTTTCCATAAGTGTGTGATAGTTCAACAAAAAGCTTTTTTGGGGGGAGTGGGGGAGCGGGCTGCACTGCAATGCTTGCGGGATCCCAGTTCCTCGACCAGGGATTGAGCCCGGACCACAGCAGTGAAAGCCCTGAATCCTAACTACTAGGCCACCAGGGAACTCCCCAAAAAGCTTATTTTAAAAAGAAACACAAATGGGCACAAGTGATAGGGCATGACAGAAATGTTTAAAACTGGACTCTGATGATGGCTGCACAAGTCTATAAATCTACCGAACATCAATGAATTGTACAATTACAATGGGTGAATTGGATAGTAAGTAAATGTTATCTCAATAAAGCTGCTAAAATATATATAGAAACAAAAAATATTGAGTCATCAGAATGTAAATTCAGTGAATGCAAGGACTTTGTTTACAAGGGTTATATGCCTCACTCCTGGAACACAACAGGAGCTCAAAAAACATTTGCTGAATGGGGGAAACAACTGGATCCACCAAAACTGAACTCTTGAGAACTTCACATATTTACAATGTCCTTGTAGGAAGTCTTAGCGACAGTTACAGACTAGAACTAAAGGCCCTAACTTCAGACTTTTTCTATATTTTGCTTCTTCAATGTAACGGTGATTAAGAGCGGACTCTATGGGTTCAAATCCTGGCTCCACCGCTTACTAACTATATGACCCTCAGCAAGTTATCTTCGTGCCTCAGTTTCTTTATCTGTAAAATGGGGATGATAATAATACCTACCTCATAGGGTTGTTATGAAGGATAAATGTGTTAATCTTCATATAGTAAGCACTATATAAATGTTTGACAAATAAAATAAAGAAGTTCTTTCTCCTGAAAATAACAAAGTAGACATTTTGAGTGGCAAGGGATAGACATGGGCAGTTCCAGTGCTTTACCTGATGAAATGTGTACTTGAACAAAAGTGTCAAAAACTCCACCACGGGGAACTGGGAGTAGGACTCGATTCTTCTTAGGTGAACACTCACAAAGAGCCGCAGAAAGTCAGTAAACTTCTCAATGTAGCTAAAGAAGACAAGAAGACAAAAGGTGACAATGAGAAACTCGGCCACCTCCCTAGAAGCGAACTCAAGTTCAATCCAAATTTTTTTCAGTACAAAACTATACAGATTTATAACAAATATATTTTCAGTTAAAAATATAAAGGCCTGCAACAATTACCTACAGGTCAGGCAACCCTTCATTCCATTACCACCTGAAACATAGCAGAAAAGCAACTTTAATCCTCAGACACTATCTAGGTAAGGCATCTTATAAGCTAGCGTCCTCATATTTTCTAACTCAGTGTTATGACCCAATTAAAGTGAAAGGAAATGGTACTCAAAAGGTCCATGGGCAGATGATCTGTCATTTCAATGTGGCAAGCCTGGAGGGCTGGTTTTCTTTGCTAGGAGGCCAAAATATTAAAACGAATGTGCTAAAAACCCAAAAACAAAACAAGGCTATAGGAAAGGGATGGCATCCAGATAAGATATACTCAGTCTTGCAACCTAATGTTCATGTTTTTTCCCACCCTCTGGCTCCTGGTGCTAATTAAACATAGCACGTCCCAATCCATTCTAAAAGTGATTTCAAATCTAAGGGAGGAGGACTCTTAGAGCTGGACAAGACTCAAGGACAATTTAATGATCCATCATTTTAGAGATGAAGCCCAGAGAGATAAAGTGACTGGCCCAAGGTCACTCAGCCAGCCAGCTCACAGAAGAATGGGACTACCATCTACTCCCAATCCAGTGCTCTTTCTTTTCACATCACAGTGAATTCCCAATTCATTTGTATTCAAAAATCATTTCACAGAAGAGTGTGGGTCACGGCTGCAAGGATAAGATATTTTTGTTATTGAATACACAGCACATCATCACTCTCACATTTCAGAAACTGTCATTTTAAGCTCCTAAATACCAAAAGGTGATTAGAAAATGAGATGGGCATACCTCCATAAACCACATTTCAGAGACAGATTAAAAAAGATAAAAGACACACTGGGCCTTAGCCAAATATTGAATGATGGCTAAAAGCAATTCTGAAACTCCTAACTGCAAAAAGCTGTGTGTTTTTTTTTTTTTAAAGCAAAGATGTATGAGATAATAAAGGGGAAGAAGACTACTCCTCAGAAGAGCAAAACTGGCCCATAAATAAAACGTCCCATATTGTTCCTGGGACCTAGCACCCTGAGGGTGGCCAATCTGTGTGGCCGCCACACACAGGTAAGCTTATTTGCAGCTTAAAAAAAAAAAATTAATTTGTTTGATAAGGATCATGGGGTCAAATACTTGAAAAACAGTAAGGCACTAATCAACTGTTTTTAGAGATAGGAAAGTACAAAAAAAATTCTCTGAGGCCTTCAATCACTAATACTCAAGAGCAGGAACTCCTCATTCCTCGCTCAGCCTATTACACATTTTTATGTGGTTATTCAAAGACATCAATCAGTTTGCTGCTCTTTAGGAAGATGCACTCAATTCCCTACCACCCATTAAAGAATAAGGAGAAGTCATGGGTCAAATACCACACAATCTCAATTTTATTTGAATCTCCAACCCAATTTTTTTAAAGAATACAAGCAAGACTGTTCAGTAGCTAGAACTCCAATTTTATTTCACCTCATTTTCTTTCCCTTGCCCACCTTCTGGTACAGGTGCTAATGAGCAGTAGAAAGTTAGAAAAAAAGGCAGTAGAGAAGAGAGGAAGAAACCTGGTTAAGCAGCTCCTAAACAACTGAGAATGGACTTAGCTGTTTAGAATTAGTGGTAAGGGACCCAAGAGCCAGGAAGCAAGCACACAGTGTTGTTCATGTCACCTTTCTGCTTCCAGGCACCTCTCAGCTTTCACAGGGCAATAGGAAGCATAGGATTAAAATATAAAACCAAGAGCACAAAAGTTACACGTAACAAAATCAGAACACAGATCATCCATGACGACATTTTTATACCACCCAAATGTAAGCCATAACAAACATTACACCACAAGAAAAAGTCAGAACAACTGATATCTGATGGTTGGTACAAGCAGTTGGGTTACTGTTGTGATTTTTTTAAACATATGAAAATACAGCCTTTCTTAACCAAAGCTAGAAAGGATATAAACATACAAGCTGTGTGTCTGAATGCTGATGTTTTTGAATTCAAACAGGAAGCTATTACCAAATAATGAAAAATAAAACCAACATATTACCATATCAGATTATGAGTTCTTTTGTGATTATACAAAGAAAATTTCACACAAAGCTTGTTTACAATGAACCAAACCAAAATAATCTCATGTATCAATTTTTTCAACTTTAGAATAACTTATTAAAATTGCTAAATTTAGAAAGCACTAAAACTGTCTTAACTTTAGGCACTTGACTTTATATCCTGCTGCTTACTCTAAAGAAAAAGAAATGGCTTAACTCTGTATAGTTTAACAACAAAAACAAGCCAAGGAAAATTGATGAAAATACTAACAACTTTTGCTGCCAGGCAATCTATAAATATTTACTAATTCAATACAATTTATCTGTCTGAAAGTCTCTGAACAGTCAACATAATGTTCTTAATATAAGCTTCCAATTTTCCCTTTTGTTTTTACACAGCAGTAGCATCATATTAATGAAAGCTGTAAGATACATAAATGACATCATCTGTAAGGGAAATATAAATGAGACCATGCCTCAGCATACTGTGGAACCATCTGCTAAGAGTCCTTAATAAAGCGAGGCTAAGTGATTTTAGGCGCCATTCAAGAGGACAGTAACCAAGAAACTCAGGTGTGTGCCCCATTAACAACTCTCCTTTCTTGCCATCGGTGTAAAACTCACAATAGTGACAACATTCCTATACACTGCATGACGTTCACTTGAGAAAAGTCAAATAGGAAGAACCAACAAGCAACACCAAGCAAGGAAGGGCAAGTGTAACTCCTGTACCTCCACGGGCCTCCTCTCCTGTGCTTGGCTACGCATGAGCAGCGGTCCCAGTTCCTGCACCACCTCAGACCTGCAGGCAAAGAGTGAGGAGAGGGCGGACAAGGGTGGAAGGGAGGACAGGAGGTGGACGGGCAAAGAAGACAACCAACCTACACAATTCACACAATTCACAACTTTTCCAACTCAACTCGCTTCCCTTAACCACCCTAGCCCTTCCAGCTAAGCTTGGACTTACTGGTACACACCTACCTCTCCGTTCCTCACCAGGAGCCCCAGATTCTGAAACCAAAGAGGATTACAGACACTATGCAGCGCAACGTGATAAACAGTCAAGGCCCATTCTCAGGGCACAGCCGATGCCACACCTGTTTTCATTACCTCTCATCGAGTTCTTCTAGCCTGCTCTTCACTGTGTGGGCATTGTTATCCTTGGTGATTTTCTGCAGGAGGTAGAAAGTCTGCTGGAACATACGCAGTAAGTACTCCTCGAACTCCATAGGCACACAGTTCTTGGACATGAGTTCATTGATGCAGGACATGGCCAGGACCCCAAGCCGGCCGCGCTCCTGACCCAGCACACAGTTCTGGCTGCTGCCGTTAACTGATGCCATCTTTCTGGCCCGGATGTCACAGCCAAAGCGTGCAAAGTGGAAGATGGTGGTAAGGAGGGACGGGGTGATGCTGGCAGACAGAGGAATCCAACTGAAGAGATGGGCCAGGCACTCCAAGGCCAGGGAACAGATATACTCACTCTCCACATCAAGGATGGGGATTGGCTGATTCAACAGTTTGGCTGAACTAGGACTCTGCAACAGGTTACTCAGTAAGTCACCTGAAACACAAAAGGCTTTTAAGATACACACTATCAAATCTCTTATAAACCAATTTAAGTAATTCTCCTTAAAAAAAAACAAAAACAAAAAACCAAGCATTAGCATAAAGCAGAAGTTCTCAAAGTTTGGTCCAGGGACCCCCTGAGAGCCCCCAGAACGCTTTTCTGGGTTCACAAATTCAAAACTATTTTTAAAAGAATGTTATTTTCCTTTTTCACTTTTATTATCTCACAAGTGTACAAAGGAGCTTTCCAGAGGTTACATGCCAAGTTACAAGCAACAGAGAAAAAGCAAACGCTATCTATCATTAAGCTACATATTAAAGAGATTTACAAAAATGTAATGCCGCTCTTCTCAGTAAATGTTTTTGTCTGCTTTGGAAAAGTTATTTTTCATTAAGATATATTATTTGTTAATATGCACTGAGTTCATCACAGTTACTTTTAAAAGAATTTATAAATATTTCCAAATATTCTCAGTTTGAATATCAATAGATAAAACCCACAAAGCTCTTTGAGGACCTCAATAATTCTTAAGAGTAAAGGGGTCCAGGGAATTCCCTGGTGGCACAGTGGTTAAGAATCCATGTGCCAATGGAGGCGACACGGGTTCAAGCCCTGGTCCAGGAAGATCCCACATGCCGCAGAGCAACTAAGCCTGTGTGCCACAACTACTGAGCCTGCGCTCTAGAGTCAGCAAACCACAACTACTGAGCTCGCGTGCCACAACTACTGAAGCCCGGGCACCTAGAGCTTGTGCTCCACAACAAGAGAAGCCACCGCAATGAGAAGCCCACGCACCGCAACGAAGAGGAGCCCCCACTCACCACAACTAGAGAGAAAGCCTGTGTGCAGCAACAAAGACCCAATACAGCCAAAAAATAATAATAATTAATTAATTTTAAAAAAAAAGAGTAAAGGGGTCCAGGGTGGGCGAAACAGGTGAAGGTGGTAAAAAGGTACAAACTTCCAGCTGTAAGACAAATAAGTCCTGGGGATGCAATGTACAATATGGTGACTATAGTTTACAATACTGTATTGTATATTTGAAAGTTGCTAATACTGTAAAATAAATTCTCACAAGAAAAAAATTTGTAACTATGTGTGGTTAATGGATCTACATTTACCGTGGTGATCATTTTGCAAATATACATAAATCACTATTTTGTACACCTGCAACTAACACTAACAGTGTTATATGTCAATTATACCTCAATTTAAAAAAAAGAGTAAACAGGTCCAAAGACCAAAAATTTGAAACTACTGGGCTAGTCAAGGTGAGGTCTGTGGACCTGCATCATCAACATAACCTGGAAGTTTGTCGGAAATACAAATGATCAGGCAACACCCACACCCACTGAAGTAGAACCTGGCGGGCGGGGGCAGGAAGCTGTGCTTGTACCAGCTCTCCAGGTGATTCTTATGCTTGCTTAATTTTTGCACTAAACACTAAAGGAAATCACACAAAATGAAATTGGGGGTGGGGGTGGCTATAAAATGATTTTAGAGAAGACAAAAGAAGAAAAACATTCATAACTATAACAAGAAGAAGCCTTTCCTGAAATAAAGGTGTGACTATACAAAATGAAAGGGCTTATTCTGCCCCAAGAAAAAAAATAAGGAGTAATCAATACAAAAACTTCAGTAATAAGGGAATGTAGGCAGAAAAAGCACATATACAAAGGAGAAAACCTCGAATTCAGACTTCACAGTAACAGTCAAAGCCAAAAAACAGTGGTGCAGTATCTACAAGTTCTGGGGCAAAGAATGACTTAACCCAAAGGTCCCCTTTGAGTATAAAGGAAGGTGACATTTTTTTAAAACATGCAAAAATTCAAATAATATATTGCCCACAAATTCTTAGGGAGCAATGAAACCATGCAAATAAAGAGATAAATAAAAAAGAAGAATTACAGAATGGTGAAGCTGTGGCAAAGGGACTAATGCAAGCACTGAATTAAATAGAGAGTCAAGACTAAACAAACGGAGGAATTATAGAAGGGTGTGCTAACTAACTTTCTCATCTTGCACAAGCACGAAGTCTCAAAATATATGGATTAAAATTAAAATATGTAGTAAGAAATTGGTTTTCATAATCTTTTTTTCTTATCCTTGGAGATATCTTTTACAAACTAATATTCCTTGTGGAAAAAGCATCTCAAGGTCAGCAATTCCTTCCATTTAATACTTCCTGTTAAATTCAAGTAAAACTAAAACTGAATAGTCTTTAGCAAAAATATATGATACCAAAAAATATATATGATACGATACCATTTCGTCCTTTTATTCAGTTTAATCTACCTTTAACTGCATTTATGTAGAGAGAGAGGTCTGGAATGATGTTATTTCTGTATGGTGGAATACTGGGTAAATTTTTACATTTTGTTTTTTACCTTATAGCAGCAGTTCCCAAATGTTTTAGTCCTAAAACCCCTTTACACTCTTAAAAATCACTGAGGACAGCAATAAGCTTCTTTCTGTTTATGTAGGTTATTTCTATTGGTATTTGTCATATTAGAAATTAAAACTAAGAATTTTTCAAATATGTAATTCATTTAATAATGATAAGCCCATTACATGTTAGCATAAATAACATTTTTAAATGAAAAAATTATATTTTGCCCTCCAAAAAATTAGTGAGAAGAATAGCACTGTTTCTACATTTTTGGAAATCTCTTTATTGTGTGGCTTGAAAGAAGACAGCTAGATTCTCTCATCTGGTTCTGTACCCAATCTGTTGTACAATGTCATTTTACTGAAGTATACGACAAGAACCCAGCTTCACACAGATATACAACTGAAAGAGAAGTGGCCTTTTCAGATAACAGCAGCTATTCTAATACTAAAATCTGATGAGTACTACTTTCTTAAAGGTTAACTGCAATGTGGAATCTGAATGAGCTTTTTTTACTCGGTATACTCATGAGAGTGAGAATAAACATGACAAACAACATCTTAGTATTTTTATGACCACATCGTTGACATCTGGGACCCTGAAAGGGTTTGGGGGAACCTCCAGGGGTCCCCAGACTTATTGAGAACTGCTGCCTTATACTAATGTTGGATTAATATGAACAGAGTAGTTAACGTTTCTCAGCCTCAATCTCCTCAGCCATTAAAATGAGGATTTTGTGATTTATTAATAAGAGTTTAATTTCCATTGTTAAAACTAGGTTTAAAAGTTGTCCTCTGGCATCTATCTTGAAAGGTGTTTGCTGGTCTCTGTTCTGAAAGAGCTGCATTTGATACCAGATGAGACTCATCATGATCTCAGCTACTCAAGCTGGTAATCAGAAGACCTGGTTTCAAAGAATAATACAAGAAGGATGTTCAAGCAGAATCTGCAAACGTTTCAGTTTGTTTATTACTGGATTAATAATTTTGATTTTTGGAATTGCTGTGGTGGCTTTCCACTTGAGTCATACAACTTTCTATCAATGGTTGTTTCTGGTATTGCTTTTTTCATCGTTCATGGACTGACGGCCATTTATGAAAGATGCCAGTTAGAGGAAATCACCATTACCCAACTATTAGAATTATCAGGGCATTTATCAACCAGGATCAAATTGAGGCTTTAGCAATGGAGGAACCAACAGACACCACCTCAGTATGATCTTATACTAAACCCGGACACTGTTGGGCCCTTAGGCCTTTTTAAAGTCTCTTGAACATTCTTAAATAGAAATAAATTCTGGCTTTAAAAAACAAAACAAAAAAGTTGGCCCTATTCTTCAGCTCAGAAGAATTTTTCCAGAATGGGATTCTAAGGTGGGGTGTGGGGAGAGCAACACATCAATGATAACACTGATGTTAAGAACAGCTACTAGGACTTCCCCGGTGGCGCGGTGGTTAAGAATCCGCCTGCCAATGCAGGGGACAGGGGTTCGAGCCCTGGTCTGGTAAGATCCCACATGCCGCGGAGCAACTAAGCCTGTGCGCCACAACGACTCAGCCTGCGCTCTACCTGAGAGCCACAACTACTGAAGCCCGGGTGCCCAGAGCCCGTGCTCCGCAACAAGAGAAGCCACTGCAACGAGAAGCCCGCGCACCGCAACAAAGAGTAGCCCCCGCTCACCGCAACTAGAGAAAGCCCGTGCGCAGCGAAGACCCAACACAGCCATAAATAAATAAATTATAGTTAAAAAAAAAAAAAGGAACAGCTACCATTTCACGTGCTATTATTATTTGCTTGGTGCTGCACCAAGCATTTTACATATTCTCATTTAATGCTCCCAGCGTAGGTATTATGATTATCTGCACTTACAGACAGAATAACTCAAACACAGATAGATGAGGCATTTCCCCCATGTTCCTCAGCTAATCAGATGCAGAGCTGAAACTAAAACCCAGGTCTAGCCCCAAAGCCTATGCTCCTTCCCAGAAGCCAGGTCAGGAAAGATTATGCAGCCAAGAAAAATGATCAGTCAGAAAGCTAATGTTCAAAAATAGAAAAATGTAAGATCCAAAGTCACATGTAAAATAGCATGTGTACACCATGACAGAAACTATAGAAAGATATAAGCACAAGGACAAAGACTGAACGGGAGTACGCAAAGGTAAAAACCTGTTTATGTGGATAGGATGATCTCTGACTATTTTTTCCCCTCAAAACAAGTATCTTTTAATGTTGTTTCTTGATAAAAATTATTTTACTCAACTTTAAATGTTTCAGGGAACTTTGGTAAATCATAGAAGAATTTTTCCAAAATTATATATTTTTTTCTTTTTTTTTTTTTGCGGTACACGGGCCTCTCACTGTTGTGGCCTCTCCCGTTGCGAAGCACAGGCTCCGGACACGCAGGCTCAGCGGCCATGGCTCACGGGCCCAGCCGCTCCACGGCACGTGGGATCTTCCCAGACCAGAGCACAAATCTGTGTCCCCTGCATTGGCAGGCGGACTCTCAACCACCGCGCCACCAGGGAAGCCCCAAAATTATATTTTAATCCAAGTGAAGGAATCGCCACAAAACAGAGACCCTGCTTCATGCTGCAGCATTTCCAAAGCTATGCTGAGAGAGCTTTAACAAGCTCTTGATTATAAAGAGGGCTTGTAAGAGGGCTCCTCGATTTTAAAAAACCTGTGACCGGGCTTCCCTGGTGGCGCAGTGGTTGAGAGTCCGCCTGCCGATGCAGGGGAGGCGGGTTCGTGCCCTGGTCTGGGAGGATCCCGCGTGCCGCGGAGCGGCTAGGCCCGTGAGCCATGGCCGCTGGGCCTGCGCGTCCGGAGCCTGTGCTTCGCAACGGGAGAGGCCACAACAGTGAGA